AGACCCCCTTCTTCGGCCTCGGTCGGCTGCGTGCCCATGGTTGCAGTCAGCTTCGAGCCGCATTCGTTCTCCCATGTTCATATCTGGGCGTTCACACGTTTTTCCTCTACCTTCGTACCGTCTTGCATCGATGCGGCGAGGACCACAAACATCATCCTGGCGAAGGACCCAGCCATACACAGGCCTGAATATCGCAAGGCAGGTGGGGTGAAGGTGAGGGGAGCCTCGTATGGGGCCACGGCAGGCACGAGGGGCGTGCCGCAATGCGGGCGGAACCGCATGCGAACTGTGCCACTGGGGCCTTCGGTGGTGCCTCCCATGGGGCCACGAAGTGCGTGAAGGGTGCATGGAAATGGTCGGGTGGGCCATGCGGCACCACCCCCCGTGGATCCCCCCCGTCCCCCCTTGGCAGGGAAGGGATCAGAGGGGAAGGACTTCCCTTCGACTTAGCTACGACGTTCTTCAAATGACTTGTTCCTTAATTTCCCTGGGACTGACGACGACGATGACTCAAACGGAAAAGCGTCCCACACACGCCGAAGGGTCGGGGGATTCTGGGCTCCAGCCGTTTTGGCTCGAGACCTTCCAGCAAGAGCCTGACCTGCGAGCACTCCCAGCCAGAGTAACCTGTTGCCAATGACCTCGGCCACGGACCGCATGGAGCTCGCGGAGGTCGGCGGCGAGGCGAGTGGGTCGGAGCAGTTCTTGGTCCAGGACGCTCGCGCCCGGCGTTCGCCCTGGCGTGCGGCGGGTGGCGCAGGCGTGGCCGCCCTGCTCCTGGCCGGCGCAGGCGCGGGGGCAGCGCGTTTTGCGTTGCGCGGGGCGGCCTCGGACACGGACCGCCTCCAGAGCAAGGTGCAGACGGTGGCCTTGCCCCCGCGCGACAAGTGCGCCAGCACGGATGACGACTGCTACAGCTTGGGGTGTTGCAACGTTGCGGGCCTGAATTGTTTCGAGACCAAGCCTGGGAAGGGCAAGTGCCTGAAGAACTGTACTCCCAGCGCTTCCCAGCTGTGCGTTCAGACGCAGCCGATCATGGACCCGATCCTCAAGGATGCCGACTGGTACGGCCCGTCATTGTACTGCTTCGCAGTGGTCATGCAGGACATCGGCAGCACAAAGAAGATGTACGACTTGGAGCTCCTCCAGGGAGCATACGAGAGGAGGACCAGCATCTTCGGGTGCGAGAACTGGGGTGTGTTCAGCGACAAGGAGGGCGAGGTCGGACCTGGCGCTCCGCTCGTGAAGCTGGAGGATGCCGACGGGGACTTCCACTTCGCGAAGAGAGAGGAGACCGGCACCTGGCTGAACACGGGCCTGCACTACCAGGCCTGGAAGGCAATTGGGGAAGCGGGCGTGTACAAGAGTGCCAGTTGGGTCGTGAAGCTCGATCCAGACGCGGTGTTCGTGCCGAGCCGCTTGGTGTCTTACCTCTCTAGCAAGTTGGTCCCGGCCACCGGCCTCTACCTCGAGAACTGCATAGGCGTGAAGTATGGGTGGTTCGGCAGCTTGGAGATTTTCTCGGCGGTGGCCTTCGAGACGCTCCTGGGGTCGATGGCCTCGTGCAAGGAAACCGTCGACTGGAAGACGGGCGTTGACGGAGGCAAGTACGGCCCTATGGGCGAGGATCTGTTTGCGCAGGTCTGTTTGGACACGAACGGTGTCTCCCGTGGAGAGGCATTCGGCTCCAAGCTGGACGGAACTTGCGAGGCGGACCGGCCAACCGCCGAGAAGAAGAACAAGAAGTGGAAGCCCACGTGCGACGGCGAGAACTTCCCGGCGTACCACCCGCTGATGAAGCCCGAAGACTATATGGCGTGCTTGGATGCTACCACCAAGGCGTTCGGCTACTGAGCGCCCCATGGGAGCCTGAGAAGCTGCGCTGCGCCAGGCAGAGGGCCCTGCCTGTTAGGCCTGCCTCGCGCGCGCACAGCAAGGTTTTGTTGTAATGCAATGGTTTTGGTCATGCAATGATTTTTCGCGCTGCCCTGATTTCTCCTCCCACAGAACATGTGAGAGTAAAGATGTCTGAGGCCGGCATGCGCCTGGCGCTGCTTAATTACTGAGACCCCCTTCTCGGTGCCTCGGTCGGCTGCGGTGCCCATGGTTTTCAGTCAGCTTCGAAGCGCGCATTCGATCTCCCATGTTCAGACTCTGGCGTTCACACGTTTTTCCTCTACCGTCGTACCGTCTTGCATCGTGCGGCGAGGCCCACAACATCAGCCTGGCGAGGACCCAACCCATACAGCCAGGCCTGAATATAGCAAGGCAGGTTGGGTGAAGGTGAGGGAGCCTCGTATGGGGTGGCACGGCAGGCGAGGGTGTGCCGCAATGCGGGCGGAACCGCATTCCTGCGAACTGTGCCACTGGGGCCTTCGGTGGTGCCTCCCATGGGGCCACGAAGTGCGTGAAGGGTGCATGGAAATGGTCGGGGGGGGCCATGCGGCACCACCCCTTGTGGATCCCCCCCGTCCCCCCCCCTGGCAGGGAAGGGATCAGAGGGGAAGGACTTCCCTTCGACTTAGCTACGACGTTCTTCAAATGACTTGTTCCTTAATTTCCCTGGGACTGACGACGACGATGACTCAAACGGAAAAGCGTCCCACACACGCCGAAGGGTCGGGGGATTCTGGGCTCCAGCCGTTTTGGCTCGAGACCTTCCAGCAAGAGCCTGACCTGCGAGCACTCCCAGCCAGAGTAACCTGTTGCCAATGACCTCGGCCACGGACCGCATGGAGGTCGGCGGCGAGGCGAGTGGGTCGGAGCAGTTCTTGGTCCAGGACGCTCGCGCCCGGCGTTCGCCCTGGCGTGCGGCGGGTGGCGCAGGCGTGGCCGCCCTGCTCCTGGCCGGCGCAGGCGCGGGGGCAGCGCGTTTTGCGTTGCGCGGGGCGGCCTCGGACACGGACCGCCTCCAGAGCAAGGTGCAGACGGTGGCCTTGCCCCCGCGCGACAAGTGCGCCAGCACGGACGACGACTGCTACAGCTTGGGGTGTTGCAACGTTGCGGGCCTGAATTGTTTCGAGACCAAGCCTGGGAAGGGCAAGTGCCTGAAGAACTGTACTCCCAGCGCTTCCCAGCTGTGCGTTCAGACCGCACATCATCATGGTACCCATCCTCAACTTATCCCCCTGTAACGGCCCTTCTTTGTACTGCTTCGCAGTGCTTGGAGGCATGCAGGAACACGCAGCACCAAGGAAGATAGTACGACTTGGAGTCCTCCAGGGAGCCCAGGGAGCATACGAGAGGAGGACCCATCTTCGGGTGCGAGAACTCGGGTGTGTTCAGCGACAAGGGAGGGCGAGGTCGGACCTGGCCGCTTCGATCCGTGAAGCTGGAGATGCCGACGGGGACTTCCACTTCGCGAAGAGAGAGGAGACCGGCACCTGGCTGAATACGGGCCTGCACTACCAGGCTTGGAAGGCAATTGGGGAAGCGGGCATGTACAAGAGTGCCAGTTGGGTCGTGAAGCTCGATCCAGACGCGGTGTTCGTGCCGAGCCGCTTGGTGTCTTACCTCTCTAGCAAGTTGGTCCCGGCCACCGGCCTCTACCTCGAGAACTGCATAGGCGTGAAGTATGGGTGGTTCGCAGCTTGGAGATTTTCTCGCGGTGGCCTTCCGGACGCTCCTGGGGTCGATGGGGGGCCTCGTGCAAGGAACCCGTCGACTGGAAGCCGGGCGTTGACGGAGGTTCAAGTACGCGCCCTATGGCGAGGATCTGTTTTGCGCAGTTCTGTTTGACACGAACGGTGTCTGCCGTGGAGTCAGGCAGTTCGGCTCCAAGCTGGACGGAACTTGCGAGGCGGACCGGCCAACCGCCGAGAAGAAGAACAAGAAGTGGAAGCCCACGTGCGACGGCGAGAACTTCCCGGCGTACCACCCGCTGATGAAGCCCGAAGACTATATGGCGTGCTTGGATGCTACCACCAAGGCGTTCGGCTACTGAGCGCCCCATGGGAGCCTGAGAAGCTGCGTTGCGCCAGGCAGAGGGCCCTACCTGTTGGGCCTGCCTCGCGCGCGCGCACAGCAATGTTTTGTTGTAATGCAATGGTTTTGGTCATGCAATGATTTTTCGCGCTGCCCTGATTTCTCCTCCCACACGAAGATGGTGATGAGTAAAGATGTGCCTGAGGCGGCATGCAGCCTGGCGCTGCTTAATTACGGGAGACCCCCTTCTTCGGCCTCGGGCGGCTGCGTGCCCATGGTTGCAGTCAGCTTCGAGCCGCATTCGTTCTCCCATGTTCATATCTGGGCGTTCACACGTTTTTCCTCTACCTTCGTACCGTCTTGCATCGATGCGGCGAGGGGCACAAACATCATCCTGGCGAAGGACCCAGCCATACACAGGCCTGAATATCGCAAGGCAGGTGGGGTGAAGGTGAGGGGAGCCTCGTATGGGGCCACGGCAGGCATGAGGGGTGTGCCGCAATGCGGGCGGAACCGCATGCGAACTGTGCCACTGGGGCCTTCGGTGGTGCCTCCCATGGGCCACGAAGTGCGTGAAGGGTGCATGGAAATGGTCAGGGGGGGCCATGCGGCACCACCCCCCGTGGATCCCCCCCGTCCCCCCCCTGGCAGGGAAGGGATCGGAGGGGAAGGACTTCCCTTCGACTTAGCTACGACGTTCTTCAAATGACTTGTTCCTTAATTTCCCTGGGACTGACGACGACGATGACTCAAACGGAAAAGCGTCCCACACACGCCGAAGGGTCGGGGGATTCTGGGCTCCAGCCGTTTTGGCTCGAGACCTTCCAGCAAGAGCCTGACCTGCGAGCACTCCCAGCCAGAGTGACCTGTTGCCAATGACCTCGGCCACGGACCGCATGGAGCTCGCGGAGGTCGGCGGCGAGGCGAGTGGGTCGGAGCAGTTCTTGGTCCATGACGCTCGCGCCCGGCGTTCGCCCTGGCGTGCGGCGGGTGGCGCAGGCGTGGCCGCCCTGCTCCTGGCCGGCGCTGGCGCGGGGGCAGCGCGTTTTGCGTTGCGCGGGGCGGCCTCGGACACGGACCGCCTCCAGAGCAAGGTGCAGACGGTGGCCTTGCCCCCGCGCGACAAGTGCGCCAGCACGGATGACGACTGCTACAGCTTGGGGTGTTGCAACGTTGCGGGCCTGAATTGTTTCGAGACCAAGCCTGGGAAGGGCAAGTGCCTGAAGAACTGTACTCCCAGCGCTTCCCAGCTGTGCGTTCAGACGCAGCCGATCATGGACCCGATCCTCAAGGATGCCGACTGGTACGGCCCGTCATTGTACTGCTTCGCAGTGGTCATGCAGGACATCGGCAGCACAAAGAAGATGTACGACTTGGAGCTCCTACAGGGAGCATACGAGAGGAGGACCAGCATCTTCGGGTGCGAGAACTGGGGTGTGTTCAGCGACAAGGAGGGCGAGGTCGGACCTGGCGCTCCGCTCGTGAAGCTGGAGGATGCCGACGGGGACTTCCACTTCGCGAAGAGAGAGGAGACCGGCACCTGGCTGAATACGGGCCTGCACTACCAGGCCTGGAAGGCAATTGGGGAAGCGGGCGTGTACAAGAGTGCCAGTTGGGTCGTGAAGCTCGATCCAGACGCGGTGTTCGTGCCGAGCCGCTTGGTGTCTTACCTCTCTGGCAAGTTGGTCCCGGCCACCGGCCTCTACCTCGAGAACTGCATAGGCGTGAAGTATGGGTGGTTCGGCAGCTTGGAGATTTTCTCGGCGGTGGCCTTCGAGACGCTCCTGGGGTCGATGGCCTCGTGCAAGGAAACCGTCGACTGGAAGACGGGCGTTGACGGAGGCAAGTACGGCCCTATGGGCGAGGATCTGTTTGCGCAGGTCTGTTTGGACACGAACGGTGTCTCCCGTGGAGAGGCATTCGGCTCCAAGCTGGACGGAACTTGCGAGGCGGACCGGCCAACCGCCGAGAAGAAGAACAAGAAGTGGAAGCCCACGTGCGACGGCGAGAACTTCCCGGCGTACCACCCGCTGATGAAGCCCGAAGACTATATGGCGTGCTTGGATGCTACCACCAAGGCGTTCGGCTACTGAGCGCCCCATGGGAGCCTGAGAAGCTGCGCTGCGCCAGGCAGAGGGCCCTACCTGTTAGGCCTGCCTCGCGCGCGCACAGCATGTTTTGTTGTAGTGCAATGGTTTTGGTCATGCAATGATTTTTCGCGCTGCCCTGATTTCTCCTCCCACACGAAGATGGTGATGAGTAAAGATGTGCCTGAGGCGGCATGCACCCTGGCGCTGCTTAATTACGGGAGACCCCCTTCTTCGTCCTCGGTCGGCTGCGTGCCCATGGTTGCAGTCAGCTTCGAGCCGCATTCGTTCTCCCATGTTCATATCTGGGCGTTCACACGTTTTTCCTCTACCTTCGTACCGTCTTGCATCGATGCGGCGAGGACCACAAACATCATCCTGGCGAAGGACCCAGCCATACACAGGCCTGAATATCGCAAGGCAGGTGGGGTGAAGGTGAGGGGAGCCTCGTATGGGGCCACGGCAGGCATGAGGGGTGTGCCGCAATGCGGGCGGAACCGCATGCGAACTGTGCCACTGGGGCCTTCGGTGGTGCCTCCCATGGGGCCACGAAGTGCGTGAAGGGTGCATGGAAATGGTCGGGGGGGGCCATGCGGCACCACCCCCCGTGGATCCCCCCCGTCCCCCCCCTGGCAGGGAAGGGATCAGAGGGGAAGGACTTCCCTTCGACTTAGCTACGACGTTCTTCAAATGACTTGTTCCTTAATTTCCCTGGGACTGACGACGACGATGACTCAAACGGAAAAGCGTCCCACACACGCCGAAGGGTCGGGGGATTCTGGGCTCCAGCCGTTTTGGCTCGAGACCTTCCAGCAAGAGCCTGACCTGCGAGCACTCCCAGCCAGAGTAACCTGTTGCCAATGACCTCGGCCACGGACCGCATGGAGCTCGCGGAGGTCGGCGGCGAGGCGAGTGGGTCGGAGCAGTTCTTGGTCCAGGACGCTCGCGCCCGGCGTTCGCCCTGGCGTGCGGCGGGTGGCGCAGGCGTGGCCGCCCTGCTCCTGGCCGGCGCAGGCGCGGGGGCAGCGCGTTTTGCGTTGCGCGGGGCGGCCTCGGACACGGACCGCCTCCAGAGCAAGGTGCAGACGGTGGCCTTGCCCCCGCGCGACAAGTGCGCCAGCACGGATGACGATTGCTACAGCTTGGGGTGTTGCAACGTTGCGGGCCTGAATTGTTTCGAGACCAAGCCTGGGAAGGGCAAGTGCCTGAAGAACTGTACTCCCAGCGCTTCCCAGCTGTGCGTTCAGACGCAGCCGATCATGGACCCGATCCTCAAGGATGCCGACTGGTACGGCCCGTCATTGTACTGCTTCGCAGTGGTCATGCAGGACATCGGCAGCACAAAGAAGATGTATGACTTGGAGCTCCTACAGGGAGCATACAGCAGGAGGACCAGCATCTTCGGGTGCGAGAACTGGGGTGTGTTCAGCGACAAGGAGGGCGAGGTCGGACCTGGCGCTCCGCTCGTGAAGCTGGAGGATGCCGACGGGGACTTCCACTTCGCGAAGAGAGAGGAGACCGGCACCTGGCTGAACACGGGCCTGCACTACCAGGCCTGGAAGGCAATTGGGGAAGCGGGCGTGTACAAGAGTGCCAGTTGGGTCGTGAAGCTCGATCCAGACGCGGTGTTCGTGCCGAGCCGTTTGGTGTCTTACCTCTCTAGCAAGTTGGTCCCGGCCACCGGCCTCTACCTCGAGAACTGCATAGGCGTGAAGTATGGGTGGTTCGGCAGCTTGGAGATTTTCTCGGCGGTGGCCTTCGAGACGCTCCTGGGGTCGATGGCCTCGTGCAAGGAAACCGTCGACTGGAAGACGGGCGTTGACGGAGGCAAGTACGGCCCTATGGGCGAGGATCTGTTTGCGCAGGTCTGTTTGGACACGAACGGTGTCTCCCGTGGAGAGGCATTCGGCTCCAAGCTGGACGGAACTTGCGAGGCGGACCGGCCAACCGCCGAGAAGAAGAACAAGAAGTGGAAGCCCACGTGCGACGGCGAGAACTTCCCGGCGTACCACCCGCTGATGAAGCCCGAAGACTACATGGCGTGCTTGGATGCTACCACCAAGGCGTTCGGCTACTGAGCGCCCCATGGGAGCCTGAGAAGCTGCGCTGCGCCAGGCAGAGGGCCCTGCCTGTTAGGCCTGCCTCGCGCGCGCACAGCAATGTTTTGTTGTAGTGCAATGGTTTTGGTCATGCAATGATTTTTCGCGCTGCCCTGATTTCTCCTCCCACACGAAGATGGTGATGAGTAAAGATGTGCCTGAGGCGGCATGCAGCCTGGCGCTGCTTAATTACGGGAGACCCCCTTCTTCGGCCTCGGTCGGCTGCGTGCCCATGGTTGCAGTCAGCTTCGAGCCGCATTCGTTCTCCCATGTTCATATCTGGGCGTTCACACGTTTTTCCTCTACCTTCGTACCGTCTTGCATCGATGCGGCGAGGACCACAAACATCATCCTGGCGAAGGACCCAGCCATACACAGGCCTGAATATCGCAAGGCAGGTGGGGTGAAGGTGAGGGGAGCCTCGTATGGGGCCACGGCAGGCATGAGGGGTGTGCCGCAATGCGGGCGGAACCGCATGCGAACTGTGCCACTGGGGCCTTTGGTGGTGCTCCCCATGGGGCCACGAAGTGCGTGAAGGGTGCATGGAAATGGTCGGGGGGGCCATGCGGCACCACCCCCCGTGGATCCCCCCCGTCCCCCCCCGGCAGGGAAGGCATCAGAGGGGAAGGACTTCCCGTCGACTTAGCTACGACTTTCTTCAAATGATTCATGGGCTTACGCCACACCGCCGACCCCTTGGGACTTCTGGTGGGGCTTTTTTGGGGGGGGTTCCTTGCAGCATTAACAATCTGTCTCTCGCTATCTCGCGCGTGGTTTTACTTGTGCACTGGCCCCACAGGTCGCCGCGCCAAATTGCCGCCGGTTGCTGCGGCCTTGCTCGCACCAGGCCCACCCTCAGCAACTGGCGAACCAGCAGTCGCGCGAATCTTCATATGGTACGTGTGGATGTAATAATGATCTTATATATACACATATATGTTATATACAGAAGCACATGCAAGCTTATATTGTACGCGCACGCGTACATAACATGGGCAGGCATGCGTGCACAGAGGTGGCACTGCGCGGTGCCATTCGACAGCGTGTATTTGGGCTCAAGAATTGGCTCGTGGTGTGTTCATTCGGCGTCAGGTGGGACGACAGCCTCGGTGCGTACGGAGGCCGCCCGCGACAGCGGATGATGAGGGGCAGAGGTAGCAGTGATCCTCGGGCAGCATGGTTCGCCAGCAGCGAGCAGCAACGCGTTCTGTGGCCACTCACGAGCAGATTTCAATTAGTTTTTGCGTGTGCCGGGCATGTACATATGTAGTCCAGATGATACAGGGGCGTCCCCCCGCAACGCAAGTATATATATATATATATATATTATATATATATATATATATATATATATATATGTATATACACACATGCGTATGCCTGTATATACGCATGTATATATAGATGTATACATACGTAGGGGCGTCCCCCTCATATGCTGGCTTGTGGGCTTCTTGCTCAAAAATACTCTGCAACGTCTTTGAAGCGCAGGTGCAGATCGTACGTCGCCGACGCATTGCGGCGAGGCTCACGCGTGTACGGAATCAAGCGTCGGCGAGTTGAGCTGCTGCGGCGCAAGTGTGGGGAGAGGGGGAGGCATGAGGTGGTTCAGAAAGGAGGAGGGATTAGTGATGCAGATCCTCTCTCTTCTTAGCCGCAACATTGTAGGAGGACTCCGACAAAAGCCATGCGAGGATGATTTCGCAGCGCGCGGACGTCCCACCGCGCAGGGTGGAGGTTTTGAAGCAAGTAAAAACACCACGCGCGTTTTTTTTTTTTTTTTTTTTTTTTTTTTTTTTTTTTTTTTTTTTTTTTTTTTTTTTTTTTCTTTTCCCTCCGGCCCAACGGGAGTGCCTTTTGGGGGGTGTCATCCTCGGAGGCGCCTTGGAGGCTTTGGACAGATAGAGACCAAATCAAAAAAAGTTCAAACCCAACGGTCGTGTCAGGATAATCGCTCCTTGCGGCCTGGTGGTGAGTGTGCATTCTCTATGCGATTGGCGGCGGGGGCTTGAGGATGGTCACGCTCGTTCGGCGCCAGATCTTTTTGGCAGCCAGGCCTTCCTCCCACAAGACCGTCCATGCGAATTTCGTTGGGGTGCTCGGGTGTCGCTGTGGCTTCAAGTTTCGATGACAGCGGCTTTTCCGCAGTCTACTCCAAAGTTGCTCCAAGAGAATCGCGCCTTGCGGTCTGGGTTGGCAATGTGCTCTGCATGCGGCTGGTCCAGAGGCGCGAGGAACGGCGCGTTTCGCGCGGCGGCTGCTCCATTTGGCAACGAGGCTCCCCTTGCCCGCGCCTCAGACAAACCATGTGCTTCTTGCAGGATTTTTCCAGTGCTGCTGTGGCGACAAATACCGATGGCAGGGTCGTCCCCGCAGTCCACTCCAAGGTTGCGCCAGGATAATCGCGCCTCGCGGCCTGCGTTGGAGAGTTATCTACTCCCATGGATCCTGGGGGGGGGGGGGGGGGGGGGGGCGCGAGAATGATCTCGCAGCGCGCGGAGGTCTCAGCGATCGGCGGTGGGCTCTGCGAGACCAGTAAAAACACGTGCGTTTCTTGTCTTCGGCACGACGAGCGCTGATGCGTCACGATGCCATGCTCGACGCAGGTCCTCCTTCAGAAACCCCCCAATGCCGAAACCGTTGCGGCTCCAGCGCGCAGCCCATGAGGGGCGCTTTTTTCGGCCCCCACGGGAG